CATGGTCCTCATTGATGTCTTCTATTGATGAAATAGAATGACTAGAATTACCCTTTCCCTTAGAATTATGAACAATGGATTCAAGATTCAAATTAAGTGGGACAAAAGTAGGATTTAACGACCTATGACTATGCATGCACAAATAAAACAAAACAAGCAAGTAGCAATCACTTCTCATCCGCAATAAATCAATAATCAACAATCATCCACATACGATGATCCCATACTCCCATGCTTTCAATAATACGCAAGAAATATTAAATTGCCTCTTCGCGAGCTCACAATCTATCTAAGAAAATAAAAACTTGCCTCCACGCGGGCTCACGATTTAACTAGAGAAAGAGTTTAGAAAGGCTCACAAAGGGTCCTTAAGCAACTTCAAATGATTTTTCAATTTTTTCTTTGCCTTGCTATGCTTTGCAAATTTTTTTTTTTTAATTTTTGAACTTTTTATGCTCTTGCTTAGCTTTGCTTGGCTTCTTGTTTCTTAATTTTCCTTTGCTTCACTCTCTTGGCTCAATTCACCTAGTCAATCAAGAACAAACACAATAAGAAACCAAAATAAAATAAAAATAAAGACAAGATCAAAAGAATACTAATTCCTAATTAAATCCCAAATACGACGATGCCTATCTCCAGCAACGGCACCAAAAGTTGGTGTGTGTCATGCTAATGCACCAAATTGCATACAAAAGTGTGTAGTGTGGCCATGTTTAAATTTAGAAAATGCCACTACCACTTCCAACTAAAAATATAGCTAGAGTGAATAGGGATCGTCCCAAGGGAAAGAAGGTGTATTTGTGATGGAAATTAATGTCGGATTAGTAGGTCAAGTGATCAAAGATTGTTGGTGATTGATTAATTGAACTACAATGCAATTAAAGATTAATGCAAGTAAAAAGCAATCTAGAAAGTAGGGAAAAAATATAGGAGAGAGTGGTCTTGTGGCTTAGAGTCACCACTAAGCTTCACTTCATCAAACACTAGCAATTGTACATTAATGGGGAAATTTAAATTGTAACTTGTGTGTGTGTAACAGCAATTGAAACTAAGCATGGATGGCAAATAAGTATAGATTGTCTAGCCAATTTTAATGAATAGCACAACCTATTAAATGAGACCAAAATTCATTCAATTAAACCACAATTAATTCACACACAAATATCTAGAGACATGCACTCTTTGCCTTCACAAGTATGGAACATCAAGAAACAAGAATGGATTGTTCACCTACCTAAGAAATTAAAGCAATTACACTACAACTAGGCAAGAAACATGAATTTAAACTAATTAAACTAGATATGTGATACAACCTATCAAGAAACAAGTGTGAACCATCAAATAAATCACAAGAGTGTTCCATTAAGCACCATGCCTTGACCATCACTAGATTAACATCATCAACACACATAGACATGCATCAACTTCATTAAATCTAGAGATAAAAACATGAACATCAATTATAACATACATAGACATATGACTAGATCTAAATGATCAATTATTAATCCATACAAATCAAGTAAAAATTACAAGATCTATATTTATTCATGGTCAAAACATCTATTACAACTAAAATCCCTAAAAATACACAAAAGCTAGGTTTAAGAGGGGCTATCTCTAGCCCCAAGAGAAGGATTTTAGCCACTCATTGTAGTGGACATGGAACCCTTAAGGGCTAGCTTGGAGATTGGCATCGTCATCTTCATCCTTGCTTTCTTTCCAAAACTCTAGTTCTAGAGAGGAAAAATTATTTTTCTCTATTTTCTAATAATCTCTCTATGATGGATCATACAATAATGTTCAATAAATCAATTACATACTCCTTTGAGTAAGGACCAAGTCAGAATTATAGCCTATGATTGGAGGAAATTTGCAACTACATAAGTTAGGTAGAAATCGGCACACTCGGGAATTAGACAACTTACTGCCGCATTTCGATCGATCGAAGATGTTCGATTAATCAAACACTTAGCTTCGATCAATTAAACACTTAATTTCGATCGATCGAAGCTGACGTGGCTCGAAAATATCTTCCAAGCTTTATCCAATTCGCTGAGCTGGTACCACCTCATTTCGATCGATTGTAGACCTCTTCGATCGATCAGGATTTCCCTTCGATCAATTGAAGTTCCCTTGGTGCATTTTTCTTGGCTTCTTTCCAACGTTGCTCCTTAGCTCCAAAATTGAGTTAAATGGATCTTATTAGCATGTTTGAACTTTATTTACCTGAAATAAGCAAAATCACAAATAAGTATCTATGACATGAAAGTAAGATAGATGAATGGACTAAAATGCCCTAGCTTAGGTGATAAAATGCGTCACATTTGAGCATTCATCAATATGTTTGCTTTGTGTAATCAAACTTCATTTTGTATACTTGTGCCGTGTATACTGGTCTTATGTGCAATCCTATTAGTTTAGTATACTTGTGTTTGTGTACTTGATTTACGAATTTTCCATATTAAATGTATACTTGTGTAGGTATGCTTAAACATTGCATAACTTGTTTTAATATGGTTTAGAAACTTGTAAATATACGCTTGTACATCGTATAACATGTCTTAACATTGTTTAGTGTACTTGAGTATGTATACTTGTATGTTGTAGTTCATTTCAATTGCATGAGTAGCTTAGGATGATCCCTGAGTCTCACTTATGACATAGACGTTAGGTAGCATGATCTTTTTGAATTGTTTCATGGTAATATGAAAACCTTATAAAAAGTTAGGTCTATGCATGCTCATTCCATACGAGTAACTTGTTTACTCACCCCAAAGTTATCGGGCTATTTCAGGTATGGATGCCTTAGTTTGGGATACACAACATCCCTAGGTCATTTTGATGGATTGAAGTTCTTTTAAGTGTATTCTTGTTCACATGCAAGTGTTAACATGTTTAATTTTTACTTTTAAGGTTGTAATACATAGTTAGGTCAAAAATGTCATTTTTGCCTTGAAACTTGTAATATGTGCGTAAGCACACTTTTTGACACTTATTTCATATATAAGATATATGGCCAAGGGCCAAACTTCTTTTGAAATCCATATATATTCATAAATGTTGAAATTTGCCTTTAATGAGAAGAGTATGAAAACTAGGATTTTGGCATGTCATTTTTGCACTGGTGCATGCATTGTGTATGAAATTCATTCTTTAGCATTCATTTACCATGTATGAGGTATAGCCAATGGCCAAACACCATTTTGTTTTAAGTTTTGCATTTTAGTTTCATATATTGCATTTTTGGGCTAAAATAGGAAAATCCGAGCCTTTAAGGGTTCATTTTCAAATCAGGTGGCGTATAATACATTCCGGCACATCCACTAGGACTTATTTAATATGTATGAAGTATGGCCAAGGGCCAAACGGTCTTTTGATAGCATTAAAGTCCAGTTCTTGCATTGTTTGTCTTTAAAGGGCAATTTTTTCACATTGGGGTTTGGATAGGTCATATTTTGCATCGGCAGTATTTTTAAGCCGTGGATCATTGTAACACGTCCTAATAGGTAAATTACGTTTGCGTGTATGATCATTTCCAGGCAAAACCCTTTCCATGGCGATTTGAGCATTCTATGGGCTCATTTTGCATTATTCATGCCAAAAACTACACATAGGGGCATTTTGGGATTTTTGCATGAAAAATAAAGTTTTCTTTTGGCATAGATGGCTAGAAAACATGATTTTTTTTGGGTGGGGGGGGGGGGAGTTTCTTCATTGTGTTTTTTTCAAAAAGGTCCAGAAAGTCCTCAAAATTGCGTTTAAAGCCCAAAAATCTACTATGCTTGTCTGCTGGACGAGCGCTCGTAGTTAGGGCAGTGGGTACTGCCCTGGGCATGCCCATTTAAGATCAATCATCGCCCTTGGATGAGCGCTCGTCCGTGTGTGTGTGTGTGTTTTGGTTCAACACTGCACCTCCAACTTTGAGTCATCGTATCTTCTTCGGTTTAACTCCGAATTGGTTTGTTCTTGAGTCTAAACTGTCCGTGTCAAAATAAGCTTTCGAATGGTACAAATTTTAGTTTTAGAATCCATTTATATCTCAAGATATTCAAGTTTTAGTGAGGTAGTGTCAGTTTTTGGTTCGAACCGAGATGGGGTTTTCCTTCCTTCGACTTCAAGACTTGATATTTTTGTCGTCCGGACTCCAAATCAAGTGATTCTTGGGTCTATCTTTGTTATTTTTTTGTTTTCTTTCCAATGGTGTGCATGGTGGCACCCATTTCAGTTTGCAATGACCATTTTACCCATGGTCCATTCCTTGGAGGGTTTTGAAACCCTAACTCTAGTCTTGCTTCCGCTGAGTCACGGGACTCCTCGGAAGGTCATTCTTATGTCTCAGGCATGATGTACATCTCTATAGAATTATTCGTGTTTAGCTTTTGCATTTTGGATCCATTTTGGGTTATCACAGGACACACTGAGTTTGTAAAATCCAGGGTCGTCTCAATGTGTATGTTCTAGAAAGACTGATAAAGAAATCAACTTGGATTTTCTGCAAAAATAATCTTCCTAAGGCTTTTATGAATAATGAAGTTGTAGTGCAAAAGTTATGAATAAACCTGGATGTATATCAGGGTTTATATAAAATTTTCAAAGACTTTTGGTAATATTCTAAACCAACTAGGAAGTTTAAAACAGGACAAGATGAAGTTACCTTAAACTGAAACAGCTGTGGTACCGGTAGCCAATATATGGAACCGGTTCCCATTAGATAGAATGGTTTCCTTCGAAATTCTTTGTTCTTGAACCGGTTCCCAAGTGTTAGTACCGGTTCCCACTCAATAGATTTCAAGTAGAACTTGGAAAACTCTGTTTTTGGTAACTTGAAGAACATACCATGTATGTATTGTGTCTTAAGTAGGAAACGACTTCCTAAAATCATTGTTCTTTCCTTTTTCGATGATCTTAGTATTTCTTCTTTGAACAACCTTCCAATTCCGCAATCGATGGCGATCTTGTTATGGTAATTTGAAATTACAACTTGACAAGGACTTGTTTTGACATCGAATATTACCAATTACAAAATATTATATCTCACATTGTAGTACACCATCCTTGACTATGTAGCACACCACCATTGACCTAACACACCTACCATCCACCTACCTCATAATCCTCACCTATAAATAAGTTTGTAATCTTGTATCAATATACAACAATTCACCACAACAATTCACCACACCAATTCAATATATCAGTTTTACATTACAATTCACATTTTCAAGCTCTCTCTTAACACAAATGATCATCCGACTAATTTGAGCCCTTGTCAAAGTGTGTTGTTTTTGACTGTCTAAGTCTCCTTTCATCCGAGAGTAATTTGGCAAACCTGCAAGGAATAGGATACTTTCAATAAATAAAAACTATAATAATAATAATTATTATTATTATTCTTAAAGCAACTGAAAATATTGAGTAATAAATTAATTTATTTTTATTTACTTTTTCAGAGCTTCTTCATTTGTGCCACTCTTTTCAACTTGTTCAGTGCGACCCGTTCCCAAATTTACCCTCGAAACTGGTTTCTTCAACAGCCTTTCACCAATGTTCACAAGTCTGTCCAAATTATCTTTTGTAGTAATATCAACTGAAGCGTCTATCCCAGTTAGTGTATCATCCTGCATGGTTATGAATTCAATTGAAACATAGAATACAAAATTATCTTATATTAGTACAATTTCGTTGAAGCTCCTTGTATATATTCAAAATACATATAAAAATGATGAATCATGTAACTGTACCTGAATTCGAAGATAATTATCTTGGAAAGCTTGGAAGACCACAGAAATGTGAAAATCAATCATATCTCCACTTGCTTGAGTAAATACATCTACTAGTGGAGTGGTACCTCCATGAAGTAACCAATTCAAAACACCCCATTTAGCTGCCATTTTAGCACTGTATTTCCGTTCAATCTTTGACGACCCTGTGCCTATGGAGATGACTAGAAACCGACCATAGTCCACCGGATTAATGGGAAAGACTTGTTTAGTTACTTGGCTTATAGCAACCAAAGCCTGCAACAATGATAGAGCAGGATATATGAAAATCTATATGATCCAAAATTTGGTATTTCAATATTTTGATGGGTAATTTCATAAAGTGTGTATACACAGACACATTTATGCAAGTAGCTCTTTCGTTTTAGTGTTTTTATGGGTGGCTTAGTGTGTAGCGAAATGTTTTGTTAGACACGAAGGTTTAATAAAATTATACAGGATTATTTGCAGCAACACCACCGTCAATAAGGTTGAACACATGAACATTCCCTTCTTTGTCTTGGTTCTTAAATTGATGGGCGGGAAGATAAGTTGGAGCCGCAGAAGTACCGATACATATGTCAGATAATCGAGCATCCAAACATGGATAGGTTTTGGCCTGCGTGACATCAAAATTTTAAGCTAGGTCTCATCACTATGCACTTAATTTGTAGCCAATTTCTATGAAACAAAATACAGAATAAACACTTGTAATAAGGTGTATATACATACACACATATATATATATAGAGAGAGAGAGAGTTATATATACCTCATAGGACGAGAAAATGGTTGGCTGTAAATGCGTAATATCAAAAGTTGGAATGACAACCTTGGTCACGGTGTCAAGCAACCGTGTTTCTCCAAGTTTGTCACTTATAACCCTGTGAAGGTACTTCCCATTATACTTTGGTCCTTTTAGTGATTTTAGATGGTTTCTAATTGTTCCAAATAAGCTCCTGCAGCTATATATTCATTCATTCCAAAATTTGTAATTAGACGCATACAAACATAAAATATATATATAATAACACCAAGAGTGCATGAAATCAAATGACAAAAATCAAGGTCATATATATATGTACCTATTCTGCGGGAAAATCTTAGGGCCGTGCTCTAGATAAAAAGGTCTGATATCTTTGGCGGCGAAACGAGGACGGTGATTTTCATCTGGAGCAGTTAACATTGCAGTCACCAGGCCACCTGTGCTCGTTCCGGCGATCACGTCGAAGTAATCTGCAAGTCTTGCGTCCTCACCATCCAGCTCCTGTTCCAAGTTTGTATTATTGTAAGTTAACAATATGTAATACTTTACCTCTCAGATATATATATATGTAATACTTTATGACATGCGGAAATAAAGAAAAAAGAAGTACACTTGTGGTGACATAAATATAAGAAATATATACAGATAAATAAACATTGAATAAAGATCATGTGAGATATATATTTTGGAAAGATTGTAAAATATATATATTCTGTAATTGGTAATTTTGGGTGTCAAAAGAAGTCCTAGTCGAGTTGTACTTCAAGTTACTATATCGGGATCGACAGTGACTGTGAAATTGGAAGGTTGCTCAAAGTTACTATGATTAAGATCATTTGAAGAAAAAGGTAAGAACAATACATTAGGAAGGATTTTAAACAGATTAGAACGCATTTTACACTTGGTAGTTATTTCAAACTTACCACAGAGAGTTTTCAGGCTTAAAAGAACCTAGTTTCAAGTTCTAGCCAACTTGAATCGGTTCAGCCCCTCTGAATAGATTTAAGGCTTCAAGATTGGATTTGAAAACCAATTTGCCAAACTTGAACCGGTTCAGCCCCTCTGAACCGGTTCAAGGTGTCCTAACAACATTCTACTTTCTAGTTTCCTGTTTCAAAATTCTTTCCTAGTTTGCCTAGAATTGTACCAAATTATATGCACAAATTTTTTCATATTTTCAGAGGGATTAGATCATTCTAAACTCTATATAAACCTTGTCATTCACATAGGTTTAGGTCATTCTAAACTCTATATAAATCTTGTCATTCACATAGGTTTATTCATGGCTTTAAGTAACATCAATTCTATATTTTGAGAAATCCTTTTGAGAGATATTTTTATGCACGGCTTTTGCATACAAAATTCAGATCTATTAGAGAGCCATATTTGAGATATATTTTTATTCAGAAAATCAATCTGATTTTTTTGATTTTATTTTTGAGAGCACACACATAAACACAAGAATTATTTAGTGGTATTGTTCTCTATCTCATCGGAATTGAAGCATAATTAAAGATTCAAAAATTCCGGAAAAGCATAATTCATTTGTTTTTCGTCAAATTTAGATGTAGAAGAAAAGGGGTGAAACGATTACACTTTGAAGAAGTCAGAGCATTCGTGGAGTGTTGTCTGATCTACCTGCAACTCTTCTACAGAGATTAAGAATAAGCCTGAGGTCGAGAGCTGTTGGACAGGGGAATCGCAAAGCCAGGGATTGTCAACAATTGGTTTTTGATAGAACGATAGGGTGTGAGACTGAGTCAAAGTTTGATATACTTTGCTTCAAACATAGTGGATCGTTTATCTCAGAACTGCACAGTCCAACGAGGCTTTTCCTGTTACAATTGGCCTATTCTACTAATTGGGGTTTCCTCGATAAAATCCTGGTGCCATCTCTTAAACTCTATTTACTTTACTTGCACTTTATTTTTGCTTTGTGGTTTGATTTTAGTTTTATTTTGGTAAAATTATAATAAGTAAAAATTGAATAAAAGAGCAAGTTAAATATATTCACTATCGTTGTTTGGTTATCTATCCATATTATATTCCACAACTATTCTGATGCGCACCAACTCTTAAAAGATTATGCTTCATGACATCTGTTCTCTTTATAATTTGCCTACAGGCATGATATAATACTGACACCAATACAGTAAATCTCAAAAAATAAAATACCAATACGGTATGAATACGTTTAAAAAATAATAATATAGTATATCATTATATATATAATAATTTTTTTATCATTTTATCATATGAAATCAGAGTTTAGAATTAGATTTTGTTATTTTTGTGTTTTTTAAATTTTTTTTCTAATTAACTCATAATATATTTTTTAAGTATATTGTATTCCAAAAATAATAATTTCAAAATCACTTCCCTATCCTGAAAATGTTCAAAACTATGTCCTTACTCTGTCCCAAATGACTCGCAAGGGATGCTTTTTGGACTGATAGTGCGAGAATCAAATAACTTGGAAAACTTGAACACTGACTCGATTCAATCTTCTTAAAAATATTTAAATTTCACGACACTTCTAATTATGTTCGACACATGTTTAGGTGTTGTCTGCATGATATCGCAACGACACTCCAAGAGAAAGTGTCCATGCTTCCTAACCCTAACCTAACCATTTGAAATACAAGCCCCTGCTTTATCGAAGGCAACCCCATATAGTTCACCATTTGATATATATAAAGGCAAGCAAGCCAAGTCAAGCAAGATGTCCTAAGGTTCAACTATAAGAATGAAATCCGTGTTCTCTTCTTTATTTTATTTTTTTTATAAATATTTTTTTACTGAAAAAAAAAAATAAAAAAAAAAAAAAAAAAAAACCCACACACACACACACTCTCTCTCTATCTACACACGTACATTTACATGCATAAATATTATACTCTATATATCCTAAAAAATAAAATAAAGAAGAGAGGAAAGAAGATTATACTTGAAGTTGAGATTCAAGGAAAGTAAGGATAGTTGCAGGAATGATCCCTCTGATACCACCTCCATCAATGCTGAGAATGGTGATTAGGTTTCCATATGTTGGGCCTTGGATTTGAACAGATGAGTTCATTACGTATAACTAGAGCGAATATATGTATAACACCTATATATATATATATATATATATATATATATATATATATATCACACCACAAGACGAGAATGCCTTAGTTTTGAGTATAAAAGAAGAGAATTCCTTTGTTTTGTGTATTGGAATTCAATTTCCAATGATCTATTTATAGACCTCAATCATGCATGCTGAGTGGAACTTCCTGTTGGAATGTAACAATAGTGGAGGGCCACACCACTTGGCTTTTTGCAAAAGAAAATGCCCAGAATCATGGACAATGTTTTCTTCCATCTTTTACGCCTCCACTATGTCTTGTTCGTGACATTGCTGTTAAGGATTTTGGTATTTTTATACAATCTTAATTGTAAGTCTAATCACATAATTATATTAAAATGCATTTTAACTAAAACACTTTTATATTCGTATCACAATGTAATCATACCAGAATATATAAAGTATAAATAAAACAATATACTAAAATATAGCCTAGTAAAATATATAAAATCAATAATGGAAGAGTAAAGAAACATCTGGCTATGTAATGGAGAGGCACGCAATATGCGCTATCCTAAAGCCTTTATAGCCTCCCTATGTGCAGGTTATGACTGTAAGCAATTTCATAATAAATAAAATTCATGGCTCTTAGTACATAAACCTTAATAAGAAACATACCTGACATTTTTATAAATTTGTTTGAAGACAATTCCTATAGAAACATACCTGACAATTTCATGGATCTAAATGCATAAATTGATTAAAGAGACATACCAAATATAGAAACTTAGTTTGAAGAGATTATAGTGGAAATGATCTTCAACCCTCTCATATGTCTGCAAAACTGAATGATGGACTCCAAGATTTCATTTGCTTATATAGTGAGGGTTAGGACCGTTTCAATATTTACGTGAAGAGATGTGTTGGTTTCATCAACCGACACAACTCTTTATATATACATATGTAACTATTCATTCAAATTAGTAGCACCTTTAAAGATTAATATGGTGTAACACACCTATATTAAATACATGGATAATTGTGTATTAATTAATTATAGTTAGACTATTATTTTTTCTTACATTCTCTCACTTAGTCTAATGATAATTAATTTTGATCATCTCAAGATCAAAATGATCATTGAGTGTACTTTAGAAGTTAATCCATATATATAAGAAACATATCTTCCATCAACTTGGAGTACCTTCGAGTCTACTAATATGGGATTGAGGGCATCATTATATCATCAATAATATAAGACACTAATGGTCACTGATACTAACAAACTCAACTACAAAGTCACATATATATCGCATATGCATATATTCAACACAATATTCACACTAAGCATCGGTCCTATGCATGAAAATTCCCTTTTCTTATGTATGATTAGGTCTTTGAATATTCTATAGAAACCTTGATTTTCATCTAGGTTTGTACGGTTTTTGCATTACAACTTCATATTTCATAGAAGCCAAAGAGAGATATTTTTGCAGAAAATCAAAGTTGATTTTCCTGTCATTCTTTCCAGAACACACACACAAACACAAGAGTGAGTTTAGAGTGTTATTCAAATCCTAATCGTGATCAATGTCTTGCAATTATAACAATCAGAGAAAAAAAAATCTACTTATACATCAAATTTAGATATTGAAGAACAGAGGTAAAAGCGATTACACTTTGAAAGGGTCAAAGCATTCAAGGAGTGTTATTTAATCTACCAGCAATCCTTCTACATAAATCAAGAGTAAGCCTGAGATCAAGTGTTTTTAGACCAGACGTCACAAAGCCAGAAGAATGTCAGCGATTGGTATTTGGTAGAACGGTAGGGTGTGAGCCTAAGTCAAAGTCCATTATACTTTGTTTCAAACATAGTAGATCGGTTTACTTTGGACTGTACAGTCTATGACGTTTTTCCCGCACAAACAATGGTTTATTTTACCAATATATTGAGGTTTCCTTGCTAAAAATCCTAGTCTCATCTCTAACTCTATTACTTTGCTTTATTTTATCTTGCATGTGATTAATTGATTAATTGCTAAAATAAGTAAAGTTAGAAAGACACAGATCTATTTCTAAAAATAGAAAATTTTCTAAATCTTACGCTACATAAACTCACAACAATATTCTCTTTGCTATAGTAAAAGTGAGTGGTTTTTCATCTGTGTATAAAGCTTGTTAGTAGTTGAGTGTGTCTGTCTATCTTATTTTCTCTTTGTTATAATTGTACACTTGTGTGTGATCTTGGGCGGATTAATTCCTTACTAGTTATATCATTGTCTATACAAAAGGGATTAATTCATAACAGCCCCACATATTGTTAGGTTTGTGGCTCAAAATTCATGTGTAGAAAATTAGTTTTTTTATTATTATTATTATTTTTAAGGCTGAAATTTGTGGAGGAATTTGTATCCCATTATGTTTCTATTTTAGAGTTGTGATCATTATGGTAACTCCTTGTAGGCAAGTTAGGGACTACTTATCCAACAAGGAATTGGGTTTGAAGACTCTATAAATAAGGATAAGTATGAGAGGTTTAGAGAGAGAAGAGATAAAAGATGTAAGGGGTTTAAGGGTGAGTGTTGTGAGGAGAGGGGAGAATATATGTAAATCCCGAGTGTATACATGTAGCCTCAAAAGAGATGATGAGTGAGTGAGTGAGTGGGGTTTTGACATATGATTGTATATTCTCTTCCTTGATTCATAATAGTGAAATCTCTCTCTCCCACAGACGTAACTCTAGAATATTGTGTAAAGTATTGTGTTGTGCGTGAATGTGTCTGATTGTTATCCATATATATATATATATATGCTTGTGTTGATGTAATGTGATGCTTCCACTGTGTGTCATGAATGAGGGATTTTAACTCTCAACAACAGCCGACCGTTGAGTAAGTTTGAGGGAGTTAATTATCCCCAACAACTAATATCAAATTTGATGGTGGGTTAGAGCTTGTGATTGGTCCTAAAGATCAATGCAGAAAATTGTTGTGAAGTTTGTCAGAACAGAAGATGATCATGAGGTGCTATGGAAATTCAATCAGAGTTGATGATGGCATAAGCTATGTCAATGGTGTGAAGCCCATGAGGAAAAAGTCTTGGGACAAGCCGGAGGATGCTCGTTTTCAGGATGGGGCAAAGGTGATAGGGGTGAAGCCCACGAGGAACAAGTTTTGAGGACAAACCAAGAGTGGTGGTAGTTCTCAAGATGAGGCAAGGGGTGTGAAGAATGAATGGGTTTGTTCTAAACCCGATAAAGAGCAAAAGGGAATATGAAGAGTGAAAATGAAAGGTCTGTTGCTTTGAGCCAGAAAAGCAATTGATGAAAATGAGTTAAAGATTGGTCGGTTGCCATGCGTGAGCAAATGAACACCAATAGGGATGATGGATAGAGTTTGGTTCGAGGTGGAACAATCTTTATTTGAGGTGAAGAGATCTTCAATTGAGGTGGAGCTATAAAGGAACACGTGAAGATGAATTTCGAGCCAAGGTGGAGATATTGATGGGTTTGTGGCTTAAAATTCGTGTGCAGAAAATTAGTTTCCTTTTTTTTTTCGTTTTGTAAGGTTGAAATTTGTGGAAGAAATTGTATCCCATTATGTTTATATTTTAGAGTTGTGATCATTATGGTAACTCCTTGTAGGCAAGTTGGGGAATACTTGTCTAATAAAGAATTGAGTTTGAAGACTCTATAAAAAGAAATAAGTATGAGAGTTTTAAAAAGAGAAGGGAAAACAGACGTAAGGGGTTTAAGGGTGAGTGTTGTGAGGGGAAGAGAGAGTATATGTAATTCCCAAGTGTATACATGTAACCTCAAAATAGATGATGAGTGGGTGAGTGGGGTTTTGACATGTGATTATATATTCTCTTCCTTGATTCATAATAGTGAAATCTCTCTCTCTCATGATTGTAACCCTACAGTTGGGTGAACCATGTAAAATATTATATTATGCTTGGATGTGTGTGATTGTTATTCATATATATATGCTTGTGTTGATGTGATGTGATATTTTCACTGTGTGTGATGAATGGGCAATAATAGCCTACCGTTAAGTAGGTTGGAAGGAGTTAATTATCCCTAATGCATATGCCCCTGCAGTCATCATTCCAAACTTTGTTATCTAGCTCGTTACACACACACACACACACACACACACACACACACATATATATATATATATATATATATATATATATATTTGTATATTTACTAGTAAAAGGCACGTGCGATGCCTGTGGTGAATGTTTTGTAATTTATAGAATTTATATTTTTATATATTTTTTAATTTTTTATAGTTTTATAAAAAAAAATAGGCAAAACAGTATCAGGCCCAGAATGCCTTAGAGAGCAATAATTGTCACTTCAAAAAAAACAAAATAAGGTTTTCCATTAATGGATGAATGAAAACTATAAACAATTAAAAAATATATGAAAATAAAAATTCTATGATTTACAAAACATTCATAAATAAATACTTTCAAATTATATATTTCAAATTATAGAAACTCTAAAAATTATTACCTAATAAAATTCAAATATATTTCGTGTTAGAGTTTTAATAAATATTTTATTTGAATTTTATTAGGTAATAATTTTTAGAGTTTCTATAATTTGAAATATATTTCGTGTTAGAGTTTTAATAAATATTTTATTTTAATTTTATTAGGTAATAATGTTTAGAGTTTCTATAATTTGAAATATATTTTGTGTTAGAGTTTTAATAAATATTTTAGGCTCCCATTTATCCTTTATAACTCAAAACTAATATGGGATAAGAAAAATGTTCAATTAAATATTTTATAAATATTTTTTTATATTTTATTTTGTTTTGAATTTTATTAAGTAATTTATAACTGGTGGCCCTTGTATCAAATATTAAATCAATAAGAAGAGATACTACACTTCATCTCTTCGCCAAAAGGCCAAGAAAGGTGTGATTAATATTTCATTAGGTCTATAGTTTTATAAGAGGCTTCCATATAATCCTTTATAACTCAAAACCATTGTGGACTAGAAAAATAAATTTTATTAGGTAAGTTGTAATTTGAGTTAAAGTCT